CTGAACGAGAGCTATCAGATTACACCTGTCTGAAGAGTAAATAGGGAGTTTCTCCCTTGACTTCTCTTTGCAGGGAAACTGAAGGATGTGGGGTGGGACTTTTGGTTCCCTTCCTCCAGGTACAGTTTTGGATGATGGTGAGAAAAGAGCAAGACCCCCAATGTCTCCTTCCACAAACAACATGTGAGTCCAGGAGGCAGTTTTGGATGTAGTACTTGGAGCACCCTGAGGCTGTTGGGATACGGCCAATGGTTCAGTCAGTGAAACAAGGTTTGGCATCTGGTCAGGAGACAAGCAGGTTGCCCAAACTTGGGATCACAGCTGTGAGTTGCATTCTCACACTCTCTAGCTGTGTCGGCTGTGTCAATGGTGAATGAACCTGGTCATTAATTGCTCCTCTAACTCCTTTATATCCTCACATTGCCCATCGCACCAAATGGGAATAGCTCAGTGACCTGAAGCCCTGTCTTTCTGTCCAGCCTTCCTTGCTCTTCCCTGAGAGCCCTTGAGGCAGTCTGCAGGAGGTGTGGGGCCCTGTTGCCTTCATCTTTTGGGAAGGAGGAGAGGACAACCTGCTGGTGAAGCAGGCGCCACAGCCAAGCTGTCAGCATTCACCTCCTGCATGAACAAACGGTGCCGAAGGGTGGGAGGGATAAAATGTTAGTCTGCAGGAGGGAGAGTGGGAGGCTGTGAAAAAGAGCTGGTGCAGAGAGGAAACGAGAAGAGTGAGTGTAATAGGGAAAATCTGTTTTGTTGCTTGCAGCGACGAGAGCAGGATTAGGAGAGTAGGACTTGGTGGATGGGGAGGAGAGATGAGAATGGGCCATATAACAAACGGCGCAGCGCAGCATGGATGTAGGCAGGGAGCAAGCTGTCTGCTGCTCTTTTGTGCTAAGTGTGGTGCCTGCCTCTTCTTAACACTGTCTCTGGCAAATCCTGCAGTGGAAAATCACAGTATGATGTCAATACACCAGGAGCTATTGCCTGATGAAGCAAGTCTGGCAGATGGCTCCTGGGTGCTGATCTCGACACCGGCAGGAAATCCCCTGTGGGAATGGCAGACACTCCTCATCACCATCATTCTGTCCTACCAGGGCCAGGACACATGTACTGCATCTCTCACCATTCTTGTAACCTCCCCAACACGTTTTACAAACACAGAGAGATCGTATAGGAGATGTGGTGAGAGGAGAATCACAAGCTGTGGAGTGCTAGTTCTTTGTGGCAGCATGTTTGCTGCTGTACTTCCCTTCTATTGCCCTGTGGGCTCTTTTTCCTGGAATATGTGAGGAAAACAGAATTCCCACACCCTGCTTCTGAAGGGAACACATATCTGTGAGAGCACCAAGGTACTAAGGGTAGGAAAAGAAGGAATCTGCTTCCAAAAATATTGATTCACAGCCTGCAAAAGCTAATTTAGGTGATATGAGAGATCATCTTCAAATCTCTCCCAGCACCACTTGTGGACAACTTTCCTCCTCCTATGCTGTATTTCTATATTTATATCTTCATACACTGCAAATTGGTTTACAAGGGCATGAGCAATGTTTAGTCTTGTACAGGTAACTGTGCATCTGTTTTCTTAATGAAAACAGAATCACTCTACTAAAATCAACTGTCAGTTTTCAACTGGTGCAAATTAGTGCGGCTCTAGGGAATACAATACACAGCTAAGGATCTCACCTCTTTGAGCTCTCTCCTCCCTAAAGGTTTTACTGTTGCTTTGCTGAATTCATGCTCCTTAACTGCAGTTAGCAGTGGGAGTGATAATGGTTGAGACTGACCCCATCAAGGCTGCAGCCTGCAGCTGTATTTCAGGGAGACAAGAAACCCTCACAGTCAGGTAGGATGCCTTGTGAATTACCACTCTGTGGGTGTTGGGCCACAAAGCCACCCAAACAGAAGGAGGAGAGTGAAGGAAGGTGCCAAAAATGTACATGCATTTCTGTCACTGGGAATCCTGCCATCGATACTGTGAGTTGTTCATATACTTGTCTATACAGAGACTATTTCGTCAAAAAATACCATCAAGCACCATGTGTAAGACTTAACAGGGGGTATTTACTAGGAACACAGAGCAGAAAGGAGACTTTCCTTTTGACTGCAATAGGGCAGACAGTGCTTTGCACCAGACTAATAAAATTGGTCTTGTTAATTTAACAGAGGGCATACAAGACCTTGCTGAGGCTGTGTTGGCTGCCCAAGCCATTTGACTGCTCCCAGTGTCACTCCCAATGCCATGACACCATTTCATCTCCTCCCAAAACCCACATCTTCGGGGGGAAAAAAGGGGCAATTGTATTCTTCCTGGTACCTGTTGCCAAGGCAGGTCCCTTGAAAGTGGTTGCCAGCCTGTCTTCAAGCTGTCCAGTGTCCTACCCAGGTGCCTGTCACCACCCCCTGGATCACACAATATGCTTGTTGGGTGCTTCCTACCTACTTTTTTGGCTACAATAGGACAGCACTTGAAATAAGTAAAATTTTCTAGAGTCTCATTACAGGTTGTCCACAAATCTCAGCTGACAGTGTGCTCGTGTAATTGCCATGCAAATACCTCACTTTTCCATTCATCTACATTCTCCTCACCACTGATGGATACAGGTGTGAGAAGTCAGCTACTCCACTGGGCTATCTAAGTCTGTTGAACTTTCAATATGTGATGGAAAATCTTCAGGTTCAAGAGCAGATTTGATCCTCCTGCTCTGTTTTGAGCTGCAGGAAACTCAGGAGGATTTGCTGCTAAATCAATACTAAGAATGATAAAAGGTTTCTGGTACAGAAAGCAGGTGGTTTTTTTTTGAAGACAGCTTTTCACATACCCCGTGCTGTCTCCATTAGGAGTTTCAGTTTTCTGTGACCCTACAATGTTGATCCAACTCTTTCCATCTCTTGTTTACTTATGGTAAAATACAACCACTTCTGTTTTGTTTGCAAGAATGTTCACCATTTTATCTGCTATTCTGGCTGACAACCACATATTAAGCAGGAGTCTTCCATTGTAATAGAAATGTTTCTCTCTGAATGCTGGCAAATCTTAGGTTTTTCCTTAGCTTTCAGTCAAATATAAAAGATGTTCTTTGCTAGCTGAATTTAAGACATTTTCCTTGCTTCCTCTTCAGCAAGTGTCATGGTCAATGGCAATAGTTTTTTATGATGGCATAAAATGAAAACTCTTGCTAGCAAGACTTGGTACAAACGAAAATAAATCACGTCATGCAGTTTCACATCTTTAATCAGTAATAGCAAACAGAATTCATATGTTACTTCAGCTAGTGATAGTTGGGTTAACTATTTTTCCTATGAAGAGTGTACTGTTTGTATCTCTGTCAAAAATCAGCATGAGGAAGGGACGGTTGAATTCAATGGTTGGAGGAATAGACACTGGCATTATTTCAACAGCAGTTGCTGCTGCCGCTTCAGTACCTCTCTCATCAACATCCAGAGCAGCCTGATGAACAGCCTGGGAAAAAAGGAAATACAGTCATTCTGGGCAGTCAACAGTCACCTGAGAGATGGATCAGACCCCTTTTAAAGCAGCCCTGCCTTGAGGGATCCACAGAAAAGTGGGTAGAGGCAGCAGAGCTGTATTGTTGTAGTCATGGCTGCTTGAATGAGGACCTGGATGGAGCTACAGAAATCTGAAAATAAAAGTCCCGAATTAAATTTTTTCTGTCCAAAAGATTGAATGACAGATGAAGGCTCCACCTGGAAGTGTTTGTCTGCACCTCCAAAACTGAGCCTCCAGGGTGGAGACAACAGGCTGTGATGTGCCTGGGAGCATTAGTGGTTCCCCTTGAGGAGAGAGGGGTTGATATTTCTCTCATGTTTCAGATGCCACCTAAAAAGTCTTGGCCAATGCCAGTCTTGGAAAAAACAGACATGCAGCAATCTAATCTGATCTCCAATGTCATCAAGGGCCAAACTCCTCTTGAAAGTTTGCAGGCTGAGGGCTGAGTGAGCCCAGCTGCAGGCAAGTTGGGAAGCTGGGAGCTATATTTAGCTGGTGTTTCTGGATGCTATGACTGAGGGGCTTTCTCATATATTTGTGAAAGATAGAAGAGAGCCAACAGCCACAGACTTACTCTGGAAACCTTCAGATCTTGGGTGCCAGTGATGCCAGAGAGATCTGCCTGGTTGGTGAACACATCCACCATTCCCATCTTGCTAAGGATGTCACTTATTTCATATCTCCCAGAAACAGAAAATTTGGGTAAGTAGAGGCTCATACGGCTGTAAGTAAAAAAGAAACATAGAGTGTGGTGAGAAGGATTTTTCACCAACATAAATGATGGTGAGAAAGCTGTGTAATTCCCATGAGTGTCAAACCCCAGGGGTTTGGACCCTGAACGTACAGTGAGCACTAATTCAATTGGTGGTGCTTCTCATAGTGATACAAGCACTATCACTCTTAAGAACAATAGTAATAATAATAATAGTATTTATCTGGTCTTTTGCTTCGGGAAATCTGACAGCACTCTGATAAGCAGGACAATAACAATAGCCCTTCTTCATAGGCAGAGATGACAGCCCATGTCACTCAAGAAAATGGAGAGATGAAGAGAAATCCTGACAAAGTCTGCTTGGGGAGAAGTGTGGCAAACCCCAGAACTTCAAAGCAAAGAACCATTTTTGGCATAACAGTGGCATTTGGCCTGGCTCCAGGAAAGATCTGTGGCTTGCTGCCTGCACTTTTGGATGCCATGTCCTCTAATTGTCTTCCTGGCTGGCCATGATCAAGTTTGCCTTTGACTGTGAGCTATCTGTAGGCAGCTCCTGCTTATTATGCTTTCTGTTGTGTTTCTTTTCATGTGCTGCCCAGGATCCTTGGAGCCTTCAAGTCACCTACGGCAGAGACTACACTATAGGTAGTTCTAGTCTTTTGCTGTCTTGCCCAGAGACAGCTTGGGTTGAATAGCAAAACAGACAGGATCCAAACTACACTGTTGTAGCTTTTATGTGATACTGCCCAGTGCACTAGAAGAGCATGGGACCAAGTGTATTAGCACTGGCATCATCGTAACAGTAGAACTGAAATTGCCATTTGGTTCTCATTTTCTCCCATGAAGGACTTATTACTATGTTGATCTTGAATGAACTTGTTCTACAAATTGATTTGGGTAAAGGTTTTCCTGATACTGCAACTGAGAATGATGCATTTTTATTTTTGATATTTGATCATATCCAATTTGCTACCCATTATATTTTTATTGACTGTGCTGGTATTTCTATGATGATGCACTGAGAATCATGGGTGTGAACTGCACAGCCTTATTAGTTGTGAATCAGGGCAGAGCTTGGTAAATTAAGCACATATTAACTTGGCATTACTCATCTACTGTTGCTAAGATCTTTTCTCTCCCAGACAAACAAGGTTGTAAAATGTGTTAGCTGATGTTTGTGTCAATGGTTGAAGCTATCAGAACCTCATTAGATTTTTATAGTTTCAAAACAAAATGCCAGAAAAATCAGGACATCCACAATTAATCATTTGCCTGTTTTAACAATCGTTAGGTGCTGCAATGGTTCTTGCAAGGAAGATATTTGTGTGGGACATATTATGTATGTATGCATTACTAAAACTGTGTAAGTTATGGTTTATTTAAGGTTTAGACATATGCCTGAGTCATGGTGTATCAGTGACATATGAGAGGTAAAACACATTAGCTGAAACCTCAGTATAGGAGATTTATCTTAAAATTGCTGCCATCCCACTCAGTATTTTAGAAATACCAATCTAAGCTTGCTATTTGGGACTCCTGGGAGCCTATCGAGATGGCCTCTGCTCCGGCTGGGAGAGCAACAAGTCACTCAGGCATCAACAAAAGAAGAGTTAAATACCAACCAGCTGCAAGATTTTTATGGCTAGGGCACACAAAACAAAAATAACCCACTCAGTTCCCAGAATCATCAAGTTCATAGCATTTGCATTCCCAAAAAGAGAGAAAATACTATAAATCTAGGTGCCACAGCAGCTGACTGGCAGAAGATTACCTCTGGAAGAGATGGTCTGACCAGTGCTGAATGGTTTCCTTGTCCAGAGCTTGTTCTAACTTCTTCATTTTCCCTTTTGCTGGCAGAACCAGAAACGCAGTAGCACTCCCATTATAATTCAGCCGTACCACAGTGCATGACAGATCCTCATCAAAATAGAAGTCAAATCTGCCCATCTGGTACATCATAGGGACTTTCACAGTAGTTTCAGCATCCACAAAGAACTCCCTTTCTTCGGTATGCTCTGGTTTAAAAGGCTTTTCCCAGTTACCTGATACAAAAAAGGAGAATTTGACTGAATATCCCATGTTCTATCCCATAATGGATTAAATTTTATATAGCTAGTAATAATAGTCACCTATTTCTTCATGTGTTAAATACAGATTTTTCAAACATAGTGCTTTAAATTGTGTATCACAGTAAGAAAAGGATCTTTTACCTGGTCAGAAGAATGCATTGGATTCCAGTTTCACTTTATGTCTCAGATGCCAGTAATGAAATTATTAGGCATTGTCTTTGTACCTACCACTATTTTTCTGTTCAGGTGATCTAAGTGACCTTTCGGTAAGTTATCATTTAAGGGCTTACCTGACATCATCTGTGTACTCATACTGCATGCATTTCATTTCTATTGACTTTAATCATAAGCCTCAATTTGTAGATAAAATTACTGTAGGATCTCATATCTGAGTGCTGTTATGTCAGGCTTAAGAACTCACACCAGAAATGCACAGTATTTCCACTCTGCTCATTAAAATGTTCTGCCCTACTCATCACTATCTTCTTCCATGTATAAATGTTGGTGCGTATGCATAAAGGACTCTTCACAGGAAAAAAAAAAAGGAGTATGTAGTAAATTAGGCCATTGAATCATGCATACTTTTCAAAAGAGGCATTAAAAGGATTAGGTCATGCATGCATGAGTCTCAGTGCCTTCACTGAAAATTAGAAGGACATGAGGCAATTGGAGTTACGGTTAAACCCACGAACGTGAGCTCAGGCTGCACTGGAGGCTGTGGCTCAGAGCAGAGCTCCTGGAGCTGTCACAAAGAGACCCAAACCTGTGTGGCACCCAGCTGCCTCCCCGTGCTGAGCAGGGTCCTGTCACTGCTCTACCACCTCCAGTATGCCATTAAGGGATCTTCTGACCCAGCTGCCTCCCCGTGCTGAGTGTGGTCCTGTCACCTCTCCACCACCTCCAGATCCATTAAGGAACCTTCTGGCCCAGCAAAGAGCATTTGAAATTTCCCCAGACCACTTTTCAAGTCAGGTAGCTGACATTAGAGAAGAACAAATAGTCTGAATGAGAACCCTAGAGGGCTTACCTTTAAAGAAAACAAAGCTAGCCAGAAGCATTAAAGTCTGTGGATCCATATTATTGACCAAATTAGTAATTTTCCCATGTGTTTTCTTCTCTATATAATCATTGATCTGCTTTTCAGCCTCTGTGGGATTCTTAAAGTCAGTGGTGTAAGTCTCTAGCTGATAGAGAGCTTTGGCATCATCTAAAAATGTTTTCAGAGGTTTCAGCCTCTCTGTGACAAAGATGGCATTCCCCATGTCGAGCTGGACCCCACCCTCAGGATGGCTCAGCATGTGGAGGAGGTTGTGGAAGCCTTCATGTATTTCTTTCTCCTGAATCTCAGTGAGATTGAAGGCAAGTCCTTCCAGGATCTGAGTCTGAGTGGCTGATCTAGCCCCTAGGGCCAGCATTGCAAATGCAGCCGAGATGCTTACAGGAGAGAAGAAAATGTTTTTATTAGGTGCCTCCAGTGTAACCTCTTTAAAAAACTGAAATGCAAAGTCAGCATTGTTTGGCACAAGTTTGAGGCAAGCAATCGCTTCACCTCCGTGATGCATGTGGTCTTTAGGTTCATTTGGATCATGTCCATTGTGGTGACTGGGTGGGAGCTGACCACTGGCAACAGCATGAAACCCAGCCAGCAGTAAACTTAGGTAGAATGTGGTCTTCATCTTCTTGTATTAAAATCCTGTGGGGAAAAAAAAAAAGATAGTACTAAAGTAAGCAAATTCATTAAGTAGAAATAGTTATTCTGTCATTACCACTAGAAAAAAAAAAATCTTATCTCTTTCTTTTGTCCTCAGTTTTCATATTCTCCAAGTCTTGCCAGAATTTTTTGTTTAGTTTGCCAGGCCTCCTGGCAAGTCTCCACTAACTCTTTCTGCCACCCTTACCCTAAATACCTGCAAAGACAAAATTCAGCATGGATTAGTTGAATACACAGCACCCTCAGAAGGCCAGAGAATGCAGCAGGTCCCATCAGAAAACACACTGTGGCTAATCCCTGGAAGGCTGTGGTACCACTGTGATTTTGACATTATTGGTCTGAGATAATTCCTGGAAAGCTCATCACAGAAGAACTTTGGATGTTTTATGAGTAAAGGGAGAAAGAGGAAATTCATGCGGGTGGACAGCAATCAGTAGCTACATACAAACAGAATTTGAGCAAATAGACAGGAAAGAGACCTGTAAATAAAGTTTTGGTCAGATTGATAAGGCATTGTGTTTCAACCAAAGGAAAAATAGTGGTGGCTGTTCTTCAGTAGCAACCCAAACATAAAGCCCTACCTCTCTAAGGAATAGGTCCCTCTTTTTTTCTGAGTAGAAATATTGCAATGCTTCAAATAAGAACCTGAAAAAGTACGTTGTCACTTCATAGACCAACCAAACCATGGGAGTGGGTTCATTTTTCAGCACAGCAGAAGCAGCCAAAGTCATTAACAAAGAACAAGGCCTTATTTTTATCAGATGCTCTACTGGTCAAAGGGCAATACATTTATCAGTGTGTTATACTTGTCTGTGGTAGCTACATTCCATTGCAGAGCTTACAGTCTGCACTATATAAGCTCTTATAAAGGGACCTTGAAAATGGGGATAGGAATGTCCCTGTTGGCCTCATTTCTGAGGAGGAATCTAGGGCAAAGAAGTGGTGAAAGAGTTGTAAAGGATTTGGGGAGATAATGAGCCAGATTTGCTAAAATTGTGCAAGGAGAGACATATTACACCAATTGCACCTTTCATCTCTGGCATGATTCAACTTGAGAGACTGTCCTCATAGAGTGCTATGCTTACGGTCCTGCTTTCTCCATAACATCAAAGGGAGCAACTTGCATTAGTACTTGAATATCCACTTACAGTTAGACTCATAAGAACAACAAAGCATTTTCAAGCTATAATCAAGTATTCCAACATTTACATGCTTGTTGCAAGCAATTCTAAAAAGCAGGACTAAGTGCAGCAACACCTACAGTGCTACTGACAAGCACAAGTACCATAAGGGTTCAGTTACTGTACACAGTAGTTTTAAATTATAGTTTGGTCTCCTCTGATTTTGACATTGAAATGATACTTCTCAATATATCTAGCTACTCATAACTCAGCATAAGAGCTCCAGTTCTGAATATTTAAAACCACTATCAGTGAGCCAATGCATTAGACTTTGAATAGAAATCAAATCCCAAACAAAAGCATCACAGCTAAGCCTAATCTATTTCCACACATCCAGCAGGCTGATTCAGAAGCTGACTCTGGATAAATTATTCACTATGAACTATTTACTCAGCTGCAGCCATAATTTATTAAGAATAACATGAATACTGAAAAATGGAACATTTCATTTTAAAGTTGCCACCTGTTCCCTGTCTCATCACAGTTAATATTTATTACAAAACACAGCAGATACATGGGCTTTTCCATATACATTTTCTATGCCAATTTCTATTTATTTGGAATGCAAAGTAGACATGGAATTTAACTGACTTGCCCCCAAAATTATGGCTAATGGTTGTGCTCTAGGGGTTCTATGAAATATTGGTTACAGCTTTCTGAAGACTATTTTCCCTATCCTGATATTTTTTGCTCTATGTAGTTATGACATGTTCACATTTTGTGGTTCATTTATGTACTTTCATGGAATTAATTTCATTTTATTACAGCTCTGAATTCACAGATAATTAAATACAATCTGAATCTGAGTCATCCATCTGTTACACAGTACTGGCCAATCACAAACCGACAAGACTCATGAGTCAGCCCTCACAAAGATCTTGATAATGGTTGGTTTTAAATGCATAATATTATAAAACACTTAGCAGCTGCAGCTTGTAGAGGTCTTTTTTGTTGTTTAAGCCTTGAAGATACAAGTGGGCCCACTCTATTAGGCCCTTTGAAATGTAAAGCTACTTTTATAATAAAATTTGCATCCTCTAAGCCTTCATAATACAATTGGGGATTGTTACTTCATACTTGATACTCACTATTTCATTTGATATTATTGTGGCTTCTAGGTTAAGCAAGTGATCCACCAGTGACAAATGAACAGAGAACCTATTAGTATAAAAGAGAAAATACAGATTCTCACATGGTTTTTATGACTGAGGGATTTTCCTGTGGAGCATACTTGCTAACCATCTCTTAAAAAACAAATTGCTGAGAACCTGTGCTATAAGGCCCTTAGGGAATTCCCTACTTGAAGGGAATAATTTTGCAGGAAGCTTTCTATCTTAAGACTTTACTCATATAATGTCCAGAAGAAGGTTTGTCCACCAACATGACAGTAGGAGTGAAAAGAACTTAAATTCTAATTCCAAATCTACACCAATTTATTGAATAGCCTGGAAGGAAACATGTTTGCCTCTGCCTCTTTTCTTCTCTTTGGGTGTTTTACAAAAGGACAATATATTTGTGGTATTCAAGAGTAGGTTGCTTTAAAGAAGAGCTTTCAGTCAAACCAGACAATGACACAAGAACATGCCAACACTTGGAGGAGAATGTACTTTTCATCAATTTATTTGTAGTAGACTTGGTGATAACACTTGCTGGATGTATTTCCTCTTCCCTTTCACACAGTCTTCCCTACCATGCAAATCAGAAAGAAAATGGAGAACACTCAGATTAGCTGAAGTTACCCTAGAATAACTCCACCAGAAAACCTGGAAGTCAGCTGGACTGAGTTTTCTTACTCCTTCATGGATATAGTTAACTTGTCCATTTTAGGGCTGACTTCTATCTCTATGATTTGCAGCCACAATTCTGAAGACAACTTTCTGCCTTTGGAGTCCCATGTGATATTCCAGGAGATGTAAGTTCATCCCATACTACTCCCATAAAGAGTCCTCACTGATAATCTCATTTCAGACAACATGAAAATTTGCACTACACAAAAACATATGCAGGCATGGATTAGAAGAGCTGTTTGCTCACCAGATGGTGCTGCTTCCCTCCTGATTGCCTCTAAATGAGGAAACATGAGAGATTTGTTTCCTGAAAGCTGCACTGTGTGGGCACCAGGCACATTAAGACACGGCACCACCACCAGCAGTGGTGTCTGCTAAACGACTCAGAGACATACCCCAAAAAAATCACCCAAGCACACAAAAAAGTCACCAACAAAACACTTGACTAGCTGCATCTCTGTGTGAGAACTTGACCTCAGAAGCCTGCTGTCCAGGACCACCTACTCACAGGAGCACCATAACTCACATGTGCTTTCCTGGCTGGTCAGAAAGCTCTCTGCATACTTCATTATATGCACCTGAACATGTTCAGAGGCTTTCTCAGACAGATCATCTAGGCATTTACTTCTCTTGTCATTCATAGTTTTGATGTCTCTATGCCTCAGGCCCCTGAGAAGACTGCAAACACAGGTCAAGGGCATTGGATTCTTCAGAGAATCAAACCACCATGACTATTTCATTAAAAATAATTCCTTTTGCAGCAGAAATGTGGAAACCATTACATTATCCTTTAGAAAGCTATGTTACTGTTCACAGATCAGGTTCCTGTCTCTTCTGTGAGCCATCTAAGCATTGGAGTGCTCACCCAGAGAGTGGCATCAGCCACTGCTGGGCCTCCTTTTACCTGGAAACAGGTGAACATGAACTCTCACTCTTCTACCAGGCAACCATCAGTATTTGCTGATGAACCTGAGTTGTTGCACATACTCAGGAATGAAGCATCCCTGAGGTGAGAGCATAAAAAAAGAAGATAAAACTGCAAGAACAAATCAGACCAGGTTCTCAATTTCTACTTTCCAATGTGCACCTAACCACTGCCCAGTCTCTGGCTCCTTGAATGTGTTGACCCAAATGTGATTTTCACTCCCCTGAGCATGTGAAATTCATCATTTTCTCTCCTTCCCTCTCAAGGGTCCTGTAATCTGATGATTAGACCAATAATGTCTCATATAAAAGGGAAGCAGATATTAAATATACCTTTCCCTAAGCAAAGCTATTTTATGTAGACCTTCAGTATAAAAATCAACAAAATTACTTAATCACTAATGCATTAAAAATTGCTCCAAGCACACATCCTCCGGCTTTTAATGGAGCAGAGCCTGTTTCCTCCAGCAGTAGGTACATCTGGGAAAGACTCACTTTTAGGATTTCCTGACTCCAGAGAGCACCTTGTTTTCCTGTAAGGCAACTAGACATCCTGCTCTGGCTTTTAGATTCTTATTCCTCCTGCCAGCCACCTGACATTGTGCAGGCAACTCATTGCCTCAGTTGTGATGCCTATGTCCTTTATATCCAACTGAGCCAATAAAAGCCTCTTTTATCTAGGACAGATTTCAATAAAGGATACAACCCTAGGAAAGATTGAAAATCAATTGCCTGCAACAATCCTCTGTGAAGAGGATACACTTTTGAAGTCTCTATAAGAAGCAAGAAAATCGCTACTTACAGCAACTTCCAAAGATCCTGCTGTCTTCACCAGGACTATCCTGCAGCTCCCTCTCTTATTTATACTGTTAAATAGCATTATGAAAGCAAAACGTCCTCTAGAAAACATTAACCAGGCCAGACAAGTGTTACTACTCTAGGAATGGTGTAGAGTAAACAGTGAAGACAATTTTTTCTGGACAGGCACTTGGTTTTTGCTGTACATGCATGGCCAAACCCTGCCTTTGCTTACAACAGTCACAAGAGTCCTCCTGCATTTCTACACATCCTCCTGCTGGAAATCCTGTCACTCACTCCAGCAAATGTTTCACATTCATCATTAACTTCTGCAAACTGCATGAGTTCAATCAGTAGGAATACTGAAATGAGAAAAATTAAACATATACATAATACTAGACATGAGCCTAAGGAAAAGGCTGCTCAATGCATGTTGCGGCCAGATCTCAATTTAGTGTTTTGTACAGAGATATTTCAGTTTCCGTACACCAAACTTTCAATAGCTTTTATTTGGCATATTTGTTTTAAATGAAACACTATTTCTTAGTTATCTACATTGCCATTAGTAAGGGCCAGTTGCTGGGGATATCACTAGTAAGCTTAAAACTAAGGCTGTAGCACTGGTGTTTGTAGTGCCTGAGGGTTGCTATAGGGATGGTGGCATGATGGCCAAGATGGGCATTCAGGAGCCCATGGTACCCAGCACACCTCAGCCAGACTGGTGTCACCCAGTACCTCATGCAGCAATGGATTGAAGGACAAACTGTTACCCTGTGCTCCACAAGTGTGGGCTGGCACAAAATGCAGGCACTGCTGAAATGCAGACAAGCAAGTGTCAGGCCAGTACACCACAGCATATTTTCAAACACAGGTGGACCCATGTGGTCAGGCCACCTGTGTTGTACATGATCTCCCTCTAAGGGTGCTCCTGCAGCACCCATGGAGGGGCAACCACAGAGGCTGTGCTAATGTGAGTATAACTGAGGGGCTGGAAAAACTTCCACGTCAGCACCCTTCCACCCAGCAAGAGCACACTCTTGGGAGGGAGGCAATTCAAGGAGAAAAGGGGCTATACTTCACAGAATCATAGAATCATTTAGGTTAGAAAATGCATCTAAAATCGTTGAGCCAGACCATTAACTGAGCACTGCCAAGTCCACCACTAAACCACGTCCATAAGTGCCACATGTCTGCTAAATACTTCCAGGGAAGTGCCACCACTTCCCTGAGCAGCCTGTTCCAATGCTTGATAATCCTTTTGGTGAAGAAGTTTTTCCTAATGACCAATCTAAATCACCTCTGGAGCAACTTAAGTCTGTTTCTGCTTGTCTTCCTGCTTGTTACTTGGGAGAAGAGACCAACTCCCACCTTGCTATAACCTCCTTTCAGGTAGTTTTAGAGAGCAATAAGGTTCCTCCTGACCTCCTTTTCTCCAGGCTAAACACCTCCAGCTCCCTCAGCTGCTTCTCATAAGATTTGTGCTCCAGAACGTTCACCAGATTCATTGCCCTTCTCTGGACACACTCAATGTCTGTCTTGTCAAAATGTCTTTTCTTGTAGTGCACTTTAAAGGAAGAATCTTCCATGCAGGTAGGGATGTTAGAGCTGCCACAAATCTCTTTCTCCTCGGTTGGTTCCTTTCACCTGTGCAAAGGTAGGCAGAGCAGTTCAGTATGAGTTTTGATCCAGACTGCTAGAAAACGTGTTTGAATAGTTGACAGTCTGAAAAACCAGCAGCTGGGCACATGCAGCCTGTTTCTCTGTAAACTAACAAATGAAAACAGCCCCTGAGGTTACTTGCCTAGAGCATATTCAGGCTGAAGATTAATAATACATGCACCAAGAGACAAATGAGAATGCAATTAAATAAAAAAAAAGTGCAGCTATGAGTAAAGTTACAGAGAAAAGTAAAGAAAACAAAACAAATCAACTTAGTATGTCTTCATTTAAGAGCAATTTAGTCTTGCAATTGAATGTGCCCTTCACCTGCTGACATTTCTATGGGAGTGCAAGAGAGAAAATGAAGTAAATAAAATCTAATCTATATTAATCTCCAATGTTACATGCAACGTGATACTTGATTTCTTTTCCTCATCTATATAACAGTTTGATCCAATCATGTAAACTGCCCTGAAATTTGCTGAGATTGTTTCAATATTTGATAGCAGAATATGTTGCCTATGAACTTGCAGCTCTCTTTTTGTGCAAGCACTTGTCTTACATAGGCACTTCTCTGATATTCTGAAAGACAGGAATTCTTCCATTTGGTTCTCTTGGTCTGCAACACTATATGTGTTACTACTTTGAATCCCAAGTTACTCTGGGGTTTTTAAAGTATTATTATTATTATGATATCTTAATAATACTATTTCATTTTATTTTTGTAAATTAACAACATCAACAAGAGCCATCCAGCACGAATCCCCTTGGAAATGAGCTGGCAGTAGTCCAAAAGGAATTAATTATTTAAATTAGAAGAACTGCATTCTTGTTTCTCCAGTAGAGAAGCACTTACATCTTTTTAAAATATTTAACTAATTTCCCTGAAAGCCATTTTAAAACACAATGGGTTGTTCCTGTTCTGATGATGCCCTCTGGAGTACAGAGAGCACAGAGTTCCTCCTATACAATAGTGCTGAGAGTAAATGTCAGTGAGGAGCTGCTGAAGGCTGTATCTTTCCCTCCACTGCCAGGCTGCATTTAATTTGTGGAGCTCTGTTTCTCACTGTGTTTCAAGAGGAAAGGCACTCATGGTTATCTGGAACAGTTCAGCAGTGACCTGCTGGAACAAGTTACCCACAGTGCCAATACAGACCAGGTATAACTGTGTCAAGTGGCTTGTCCAGTCCTTCCAAGGGACAATACAGCAGACCTTCACCTCTGAGTTGCTTCTTCATTGCTTTCATGCTGTGCACTGGCATTGCCCCCTGCCAGTCCCACACAGTCGGTTTGGACTCACTCTAAGGGGAGTATCTTGGTCAGATATTAATTTCAGTTCTCATAAGGGAATGCACATGTAGTACTGTCCCCTGAGCCACTGCAGTGAGTCTCTTCCTTTGTCTCCAGTCTAGCATCAGTTTCTTTCTGCAATGAAGACACTCTGGATCCCAAGGAGACTGTTACTTTCTATCACTTCCAAAATTTGGCTTGGAGTCCATTTCCTTCGCTTCATAGTCTGTCGTTTCACAATGACTTTCACTTGACCGAAGTGCAGGATGCTGCTGCCAGAGATGTCTCATCCTCTCACATCCCTGTGATGTCTCATCCTCTCACAGCCCTCCAGGATGGTTGATGGCCTCAGGGAACTGGAGCCCAGGACAAATAGGGAGAGACTGGGAGAGCTGAGCTTTTACAGCTCAGAGAAGAGAAGGCAAAGGGAGAGGCTCTACCTGCTGTCCTTCCCTACATAATGGGCCACATTAGAGAGAAGGTGGAGCCAGAGGTGCACAGTAGTATAAGCAAGGCAGGAGATGCAACTGCAGCAAGGCAAACACAAATGATATCTAAGGAAAGTAATGTTCTCAGCGAGGGTGAAATACAAGGGCATGTCACCATGTGAGGCTGTGAAATTGTCATCCTTGTAGACATCCAAAACCTGTCTCAACATGGCCCTGAGCAACCTGAGCTAGATTCCAGGCTGGTGCTGCTGTGAGCAGGTGGTGGGATTGGATGACCTCCAGAGGTCCCTTCCAACCTAAATCATTCTACTTCTCTAATAAAAATTACTGTGAAACTATGCTCTCAGGAATCCCTGCCTCCACTTGCACTGCAGGTTTGCAATTTACCCTACACAGAAACTCCCCTCTGCTTCTCACCACATGAGTCCAGAGGCTTTTCCCTGAAACACTCAGACCCAGGGAAGGTGTCATCTCCCTTGTCCTCTGGCATGCCCCAGCAGAGTCAGCACAAGGCAGGCAGACAGCCTCCCTCCTGGCTGCCCAGGCAAGGGTCTGCCAGAGCATAGCATAGCACACAATATGCACTCTGGGAACAAACAAATCTGGTGGACCATCTGCCCTGCTCCCAGCACACCACAGTCATGGCAGGTGGCACACACCTCTCCGAGGTGCTGTCTGTGCTCACACTTGCAACACTGCACATGACTGTGCTTTTCACTTCAGACACTTTGAAAGTTTCCAGCATTGACTGTATCTCAGAAGGGATCCATGTAGCTGTCTTGATTTCTCCAGACCTTCCTGTAATTAAGACCTGCTAATGACACACTTTCTAACAGCCTGTGTGGTGAGGAGAATTCACTAGTGAATTCCTAAAACCCTGGAACACGCAAACTTGAATTGGCTATTTTAAAATTAGAAGCTGCTACCAAAGAAACTTTTGATACTGCCATTTTCCTTCACATGTGTCCATTAAGATGGTAAGTTTTCGCATGTGTCCTTAGTGGGGTATTAAAGCAGTTGAGATTTAACTCCATTTGCTTCCTTAGTGTGCAAGAAGCATGACTGTGTCTCGACAGGTCTGGTGCTTTGGTGGCTAGCCTCAGGACATGATAAAGCATCATCAAAGATAAAGCTGTGTGATAGCAGTGGGGAGAACTGCCCTGATCATTGACAAAATCCTTTAGCACAGAAGAACAGAGTTTGGAAAATGTTCAAGTGCAGGCTGATTTGTTTTGCTCATTTACATTTATTATTATCTGGGTATATTTATGTTCTTCTTTCTTGAGTCTGAATAAACAATAAATGTGGGTGGGCCTGAGAACAAATGTTGACAGTTCTTTACCTTTAATCTGGGCAAATTTCATTCCTCTCTGTTTGTTTGCAGATATTTCCTCTGGAGAGCCGTAGAGAAGAGGAAGATTCAGTGAACCTGTTGCTACTATGCTCTGAAATTATGTGGTCTGAACACACTCAGTGATAGACTTTATTTTGACTATGGTTGGTTCACTCACCAAAGCAAGCCCCAGGTTTCTGCAGGTTTCAAATGTCTGGACAGCTCTTGCCCTGAGCTGTGAGACATATGATCCGTAAGAGATTTAATCCCTGGAAGCTGCTCAGGGTGTGCCAATGTCTGCACA